TCTTCTCTGATCCAGAGAGCTGTAACTCCCATATTGCTTCTTTTTAAACAGCTCCATATGAGGACTGTAGTAAATATAGAAATTGACTTCTGAATGTAATCTCTAATTGTTTTTAGTATAATTTCAAATTTAATATCTAGTTTTTTTCTAAGAGTTGGACGAGACATAACTGTAGACGAGGAAAAAAGACAGGTGACCTCATCTTTGAACAATTGTCTTGCAACTGTTATTAGTGGTCAAAAGACCTGGTGTTCTTGATGTTTAACTTATGATTACATGGTCAGACGACTAAATCGGACTAGAATCTGAATTTGTATTGTTATCTTCTGACTCCATTTTTTAAATATAAATTATCAACATGCATATATATACATATGTGTATATATAAAAAGCTGAATATATAAACATATATATTAAGCTGGATAAATAAAAAAACAATTGCTTTTACTCAGCGTTTTTAGAGTAATTGCTCAGCTTTACATGAATAAAATCTTTAGTTATTTTGCTCAAAATTCTATTTATGTAAAGCTGAGCAATTACTCAGCATTTTTGGAGTAAATTATTCAGCTTTACGTAAATAAAATCTAAAATCTTATTCAAGTAAAACTGAGCAATTACTCTAAAAATGCTGAGTGAAAGCAATTGTTTTTTTTACCCGGCCTATATTCAGCTCTGCTGAATATAGGCCGGGTGAAAGGCCTATATTCAGGCCTATATATCAGCTAAAAGTGCTTTAAATAAAAAAATTATAAAGTATTTTGTATTTTGAAAAACACTGAAAATAGAAAATACATCCAAAAATGTATTTTAAATATAAATACAAAATACTTGATTGAAAAAGTATTTAAAATACAAAATACAAATACTTCAAAAGTATTTAAAATAGGTATTTAAAATACTAGTAATTAAAATACTTTACAACACTGGCAACAAATCCAATTGTATGACAAATAGTATGACAAATCCAATAGTAAAATCTCAATGCATGGGTTTTGCTTGTGTCTCTGTTTAAATAATTAGGCAACTCATTCTATTATCTCCTAAAAAGGGTACAGCTCTAAAACTCATTTTTTTGGTTCTAAGGTATTTTTAGAACAAATTAGAATCTATTAAACTATTTTACTAGATAAGTATTATATTTTACTAGATTAAAGTATTTTCGCCTATATTCTATATAAATCGATATATATAAGTTCTATATTCTACTAGTTAAAACTATTATTGACTATACTGAGTTTTTTTGTTGTGGTTGTATTTTCTTCATTTGACAATGGACTTATTAAATTTTTCAATGGACTTATTAATTGTTTCAAAATTTACAAACTACTTTAAAAAAATAATTGAAAACTCCCAAAATAACTCATCAAAAAAAATAATTGGAGAATTCCTCCCTATAGAGAGCATGATGATAAAATAATAGCTGAATTCATAAAAGTAGAACTCACAACATGAAACAAAAAGGATTTTAGAGGAGATACAGCATCTAATTTATAGAGTTTTTTAAAGTTACTAATAAAAAAAAGAGCTCAATATCAATTTATAGATAATCCCTAATATAAAATAAATAGTTTATTTTTCTGTAAATGTTAAAAAATATATTTTTTTTAGAAAAAAGTCTTTTATTCAAAAATCTTTTTAAATTAAATATTTTTTCATTGTTTAGAACAAAATTGATAAATGCATGGGAGCTACTTCAGTTTAGTTTTGAATTTTGTTTAAATAGTTTACAAATGTATTTAAATAATGCATTTTGTATTTTGCTTTATTTTTAAACAAATTCACCTCCAACAAGACTGCAAGCAATCACTAATTAAGTTAGGAGTTGACAAAAACAAAGAATAGAGCTTAAGTGCAAGAAACCAAAAAAACAAAGTTTTTTAGATTTTTTTAAAGATTTACAGTATCCTCTAAATCTTTGAAAAGAAACCTTTGTTATATGTTGCTTTATGTTGTTACTGATATGTTGATATTGCTACTGATATGTTGATATTGCTTTTGATATATTGACATTGCTACTGATATGTTGATATTGCTACTGATATATTGATATTGCTACTGATATGTTGATATTTCTACTGATATGTTGCTATTGGTACTGATATGATGATATTGCTACAGATATGTTGCTATTGGTGCTGATATGCTGATATTGTTACTGATATGTTGATATTGCTACTGATATGTTGATATTGCTATTGATATATTGATATTGCTGCTGATATGTGGATATTGCTACTGATATGTTGATATTGCTACTATTATGTTGATATTGCTACTGATATTATTATACTGATGATGATATTGCTACAGATATGTTGCTATTGGTACTGATATGTTGATATTGCTACTGATATGTTGATATTGCTACAGATATGTTGCTATTGGTACTGATATGGTGATATTGCTACAGGCTTGGTCGGGAAACAGGTGCGATCGCACTCGATAATTGACCATGGAATGGACAGTTAAAAAAAGAAAATAGCTTTAAACGCAAAAAAACTTTAAGCAAAATAAATATGATTAGAGCAAGTATTTTTGAAACGTCGCTCTTTTATAATTTTTTTTATAAAATTAAGCGACGTTTTTTATATAAAGTAACAACTTACTATTAATGATTGTTTAATAAGGAAACTAATGTTCTTCAATTTATCAAAAAGTATATATATATCATTTTTTTATTATATACTTGTCTTATAGAGGAGGTGGGGGGGGGGGGGGTTAGAAGGGCTATAGCCCCAGGACTCTCAATGTTAGGGGCCGCGAAATAGTCAAGAGGACCATTCGGTATTTTTCAGTCATTTTTACCATGTGGCACATAAAAAAGCCCACCAAAAACATGCAGCCCCCGGCCCTGAAAAGTTCAACAAAATTCAACCAATAAAACTAACGCTAGATGATTTATTTATAAATAAAAAAGTTTTTTCAATAACTGTTTTATGCTTCGCGTAGTTTGAAAATCGCACAAATTGCTTTAAAAGATTACATTTGAATAAAATACACATACATAAAATTACATACATAAAATTATATATATATATAAAATACATACATAAAAATACATTACATACATAAAAAATACATCCCTTACATATAAAAAATAAGAATATACTAATAAAATCTATAATATATTTACAAAACGTTGACAAGTTAAAAAATATAAATTTAAAACATTTATTTTAAATTAACATTATTTGTAAACAAATAATGACATTATCAATGTTAGTTTAAAACATTTATAGCTTTGTAGATGTGGCTCCGAGAATGAGTCATAGTATTAAACTTATAGTTCGTTTGATAGTATATTCTTAAAACAATTTATGCTCTTAAATCTCAGCGAAAACATAACAAAACTTAAACAACACAATTTTTAAAAATATTTCAACAGAATACTCTTGAACATTCGCTTAGTATTTTTTAAATACTTAAAAAATTTCGGCTAATATTTTTTGAACCAATAGAATTAGTTGTTTGTAGATTTGGCGGGTTTTTTGTGTTTGCGAATATTCTTTTTTTATTTTTCTGCACCAAGATGTTTGAGAACATTCGAGTTTATATATGTTTCCATGTAAGTCCATAAAGCAAAATATTTTGAAATTCACAATAAAATAATGATTGATTGATTGATTGATATTTATTAGAACAAAGTATAAATGCATGTTCTAAAAAGCCCATACAAAGATGGACACTAACAACATGCCCAAAGAAATTTAAAAATACCGCTACAAAAAAAATTAACAAAGCTATAAAGAAACAAATAGTTGTTCCTTTTACAATAGATATTTGTTTAAGTCGAAAGATTTAATTTTATTTTTGAACGTTAAAATGTTATTTGCATTTACAGCCTCCGAGGCTGTAAATGCAAATGCTTGTAAATGTGAATGCAGTTGTTGACATGTGGAACATATTGTTCCACATGTCAACAACTTGGTAAGAAAAGGTATATTTTCTTAAATCCAAGCGACAAGATTGTTTGCTTATTTTATAACTATGACCCCGGGTGTGGCTATTACTGTCAATCGCAAAGAACATTGATTGATCAGTACAGACAAGTTTACAAAAAATTTTAAAGCAAGTTACTAAATCGTTTTTAAGGCGCTGAACTTCGAGTGATTCGATACCAAGCAACTGTAATCTATTATGATAGGAGATGTCTAAGGCTCCTTATTTTTTTTGTAAATTTTGGTTGGACACTTTCAACTGATTTAATCAATCCGATTTGGTGTGGTGACCAAACTGGAGAACAATATTCTAAAATTGGTCGTATATAGGTAGTGAAATCTCTAACTAGGATACAAGGGTCACGTGTTTTAAAACATTTCAAAATTAAGTATGCTCTAGAGTTAGCTTGATGGATGACGTTAAAAATATGTTTTTTATAATTAAGGTTAGAGTCCATTGTTACTCCAAGATCTTTTGGGTTTGAAGACCAAGCCAAAGAAGATTCACCTAATTTATAGTTAACCTTTATACCTTTGTATAATGAGGGAGGTGCTATTCTAAGTGCAAAACACTACAAGCAATTGTTAGTTGCCAAGTTTCTGCCCATTGTACAAGTCTATTTATAGCAACAACTAAATTTTAGTTGTTGCTATAAATAGACTTAGATCCATATCACGGTACGAACTATATAACTTTATATCATCCGCGTTAAGTTTTAACAGTCCAGATTATTAGTTATAGCGGTTAAATCATTAACATATAATAAAAACAATGAAATTAATTATTATTTTGAGAACAAACAAGGAAACATACATAAACTTAAATATTCTCAAAACGACTAAAAAATCTGGCCGGTTTTTCGCAACTAAATAATACTTCCATGGTCAGTTATCCAGTGCGATCGCACCCGCTTCTCGACCAAGCATGTTGCTACTGATATGTTGACAATGATAACAACACTCTGAATTCTCTACTTATTTTTTTATATGTGTTTAAGACAAAATAAAAAACACATTAAAAACAAAATAAATTCAAATATTTCAAAAATAAAATAAATTTACCCAAATCCCATTATTTCAATTAATTTTGTAAAATGTCCACCAGCTTTCCATACTATAATGTTTCCCTCTTCATCGCCAGATATCATGTTACCAGAACTACTATGCGAATGAAGGTCAGTTATACTAGTACGATGTTCTAAAAGTGTTTCGTGAAGTTTTACAGTAGTTCCTTTATTAGGAATATCAAATACAAGTATAGAACCATCAGCAACACCTGAAATTATATAATGCAACACTTTGTATAAATATAAATAAGCACAAAAAAAAACAATTTTCACAGGAAGATTTACAGTAATACTAAATTTAGGGAAGAGTTTTATTAAAGAGAATGATTGTAATACAGTGATCATCCAGGTTATATTTTTAGAATCTGGAAAATATTTTCCCAAAAATATCTAGAAAAAATTAGAGAAATACTTGTTAAGAAATATCCGGAAAAATTCTAGAATTTTTTTTTAAATAAAAAGGTTAACAAGGACGGATGCTTTCAACAGTAATACATACAATTTTTTGCCAGAACATGACAGTATATTTTTTATTTACTATGAATAAAAAACAACTTTTACTTTTATCTAAAAAAAAAGAAATTTGAGTTATCTAAAAGATATTAAAAGCTCACACAACTCTCAATATAATAATTTTCATTATTTACTACTAATATTAGATACACATATCTAACAGATTCGGAACAAATGAAAAAAGTAACTAAGTGTAACTTTAGTTATAATAAAACAATAATAATGAGAAGTAAAGACTAGGCTGAAAAACCATTAAACAATATGGACAAATGATATGCACTTATACATTAAAAGACATGATGAGATAATGAAATGTGGCTTCAATTCACTAAGGAAGTATGAATAGATGGACATTTAATGCATTTTTATAGATTAGGGGTGCCGCCAATAACTGAAATCCTATGTAAAATATAATTTTTAGTGCCTTTTTTTGAAATAATTTTATAAAAATAAACCGACATTGGTTGCTTTGCTAACTTCTTTCAGTAAACATTTTATTACTCATAAATCACTTTTGGGAAATATTAATGCATTTTGTAAAATTAAGAATATCTCATGTGTTTGAATATATTTTAACAGTAAGCTTTGTTTAATAAAAACTTATTTGTAAAAAAAATTTGATATAAAAATTAATGTTTTTGTAAAAATGCAATACGTGATATACTAAAATATCTTTTTATATTATTTGTTATACTAAATATTTTTATGTTATTTGTTATACTAAATATTTTTATATTAGTCAATATACTAAATATTTTTAAATTATTCATTATAATAAATAATTTTATATTATTTGTTATAGTAAATATTTTTATATTATTCGTTATATTAAAATATCTTTTATAGTAATAGATATACTTTTTTTGTATTGCAATCTTTGATATTTTTTGGTAACAGAATTTTTTTTATGATGCATTTTTTGATTATATAATTTACAATACATAACAAAATAGTAAAATATATTAATTTCAATTTTTACATAATATATATGACTTTATAAAAACAAAAAAAAATTTATTTTATTTTATAATTAGATATTTGAGACAGTATTCCCATGTGATGCAGCTCTTACCTGCTTTTAAACAATGCTCATGGACCAATTAGAGATGCATGGGGTAAAAAACTAATAAAACTTGACAAACCAGATTCTAAATTCCACAAAATTCAAATAGATTGGTACATTGGAAAAGATGCACAAACAGTAATTCTCAAATTTAGGTTTTAATATAAACAAAATAGAACTGCATGTTAAAATAGTATTTATTGACTGTGCAAAGTATAAGCAAAGAACGAAAAAAAAAACTTTTAATTTTAAAAAAATTTAAATTGTAGAAACTATATTTCAGAGCTAAGAGTTAATATTCTTATTTTAGGTGATGTCAATATACTAATACTGCAAACACTACTATCTGATAAAAATGAACACAGCAACAGAAATATGAAAATTGCCCATATCTTACACCTCAAATTAGAACAAAAATACTTTTTGTACTGTATAACTATTTTTTGAAGGCATTAACTAAATGGGTATAAACTTGTTAACTTTGAAGTCTATGCAGCCTCTGAAGTTTTAACACATTTTAATCATTCAAATATTTAGAGTTGTTCAAAATGACTTTTAATGCTTGAAAACCTAAATTGGAAATCTAAACATAAATTAAAAGAAACGTTAAAAACAATAATTTAACCATTATAATAAAATCATAATAACTGAAAACAAATACTTTAAACTATAAATTTTTTAAGTGTTTCTTTTTTTATAATATAGCTGGTTTTTTTACTCTTTTTCTTTGAAACTTTTGAATTCTTTATATAAACAACAAATTAAATCAATTTTGATTTTATTTTTTTTTTTAATAAATTGTACTCAAAAACATAAATTAATAACTGCTAAAGTAATTAAAAAAGTTTATATTTTTGCAATAAGTTACGTTTTTTATTTGTTACTCAATAACTTTTTAAAAAATAAAAAACATTACTTGTGCCACAATTACAAATTTAAAAAATAATAATTAAAAAAAAGAAAACGAATTTTAATTCATTTATACAAATATCCAAAAATAAAAACAATTAGTTTATTTAAATTATTATTTATATGCTGAAAAAAAAAATTTAATTTAATTCAGTTATGTAATATTAAAAAAATACATTCCATAACATATTTACATAAAAAATTTAATTTTTCAAGTGAACTCATTTTGCAGTAATTTACTATATTGCGGTAGGTTAGGCATATTATAAAACATTTTGACTTTGAAACCATTATAAGGAATTCTAAATTATCTTATAAAATATTACTGATTTAATTGACTAATTTTATTTTATTTTTTTTTTAGATTTCCTAACTTCCAATGATTTTATTAAAATGATGTAAAGTTATCATTTTTACATTATATAGCAAAGGTTAACAGTTTGAAATTGTAACATTAAAAAACATATGTACCTATACAGATATGTTTTTCTCCAACAGCTGTCACACCTCTTGCATACTGAGCATGACCTATGATATATAAGTTTAAAATATAACAGCATTTTATTCTTTTATTTACAGGGTGTTAGCCAGCTTAATGGCACTGCATATACTGCGGAATTCCCAAAATTCAATGACCTTTTTTTTTTTTTTTTGAAATAATAGGACAATTTCAATAAAAATTCACATTATTTTGCAGAACAAAAACAATAAATATTCCTAATATTGCAAAAATGCAGTAAAAAATATATTCCTAGCTAACACCTTGGTTTAATAATAAAATTTCATTAATCAAAAACACCTTAAAAAAACATTTGCAAAAACATTAGTATTTTACAACATAGAAAACCCCAATAGGTAGAGCAATGGTATGATTGAAAAGATTGGTATGATTGGTATAGATTGAAAATTGAGGTCAATGGTTCTCTTTTTTTTTAACAAATACAACCACTCAAACAAAAAAATTTGACAAATGGTTTGAAATGATGCAACTTTGTTTTAATAATCATTGACATTAATTTGAACATATATCAAAATTAAATTTAAAGATTCTTTTTTTTAATGGGGGATTCTACAACCTTTATCCTAAGCAAACTATAAAATTGCTTTTTTGTGTGGACAAAAAGCATTAATGAAATTTTAAAAACTGAAATAATATAAAACATCAGAATAAATATTTTTAAAAACCTTCTAAAATTTAGTCATTTTAAAGTGAACACATACCATAAATGCGATGAGTTCCTAGAGCCTGCCAAAATAACATAATTGAGCCATCAGCTTCAAACATCTAATAAATAATATAATACTAAATAATGTGAAAATTTCAAATTTAAAACATAAAATAAAATTTAAAAAGAATTTTAAATTAACCCTTTAGCAGTCCCTGCCATAATACTTCACTTTTTGAAAGTGATTTTTAAATGTCCCTGCTATATTATTATGCAAATTGGAAGTAACTTCTAAATAACTTGCTGTAATATTACCACTAAATGCATCTACTCTATGTATTTCCTTGTTTATCAGTAATTATGTCTAAACGTCACAAGGTTTAACTATTGCATAACTACTCAGCTTTTTGTTTCAACATTCCAATATATATATATGTTTCAACATTTCAATATATATGTGTTTCAACATTTCAATATATATGTGTTTCAACATTACAATATATATGCGTTAATTTTTATTTTGAATATAGCTGAGAAGCAAGTTTTTTTATTGCAAAAATTATCAATAAAAAAATGAATATTTTCTCATGAAGAGATTGAAAAGTATATTCAATAAAAGTGAATTGTTAAGTGAAGTTTTAGAAAAAACAATGTAGTCTTTCTGATGTATCTGAAGGAGAAAATGCATAACTAAACTTCCCCTAAATCTCAGAAGAGTTAAATTTTGGAGGAAGAAATGTCTGCATTGCTCAATGCTCCATGTTCTACAAACAATTTCTTTGAAAATAAACTTTCTAAACCCTTGCACATACCCAAATCGATACCTGAACCTTTAATTCATAGAGTTCAATACTTTGAATTTACCAGTGATTCAGGGTTCAACTAAAATACACTCAGTTTTATAACTATAGAACCACTTAATATTTTCAATACTATAAACTTTATATATTGCAAAAAAACTCTGTTAGATGAATGGTTCAGAAATAATGATTGATTATGTATATGCAAATAACCTAAAAACTGTGGTTTCACAACAATAAAACCAGTAGAAACAAGTCAAATATATTATTATGTATGGCCACAAAGCTTCTTTTGTGTGGCTTTGTTGATAAGATGCCACACCTTCATGACTGCAATGCGCAGCTCTTCGACAGTTTGAAACTGTCAGCTTTAAGTATACGCACGTCACACAATGACACCTCAGACATTTTTTTCTCACAAAAATGTTTGAGGTGTCATTGTATGCTCACAAAAAATTGTGAGTATAATTAATAATGTTGAACTTTTTGCTTGACAAAGTTTAAATAAAAATTGTAATTATGACAAACAAAAGTAGATTTAGTTTAGTTAGTTGGCTGTGTAACTAGTATATTTTTTTAAATTTCAGTCATCTCAAAAATAACAGACCATAGAATGTCCATGATGTTACATTCCCAAGCCTTTCCGGGAAGCGTGTGAGGTTAAAGTAATTTTTTTAGACAACTTGACCACATTTTTACATAGTAAGCAGTTTAAAAATTTGCGGCAAAATAAAGCTGTATGAAACTAGAGAGAATAAAACAGCAATACTTGAAGGAAGGAAATAAGGACTATATGAAATAGAAAATCTAAATAAAATAAACTAAAAAAAATTGAATATTAAAAAAAAAAGAAAAATTTTGTCAAAAAAAAAATGCACCTAAATATTTTACTGTTTTTGTTTTCTTTTCTTTTTTCAGGGCGTTTGTTATTTTCCTCTACCAAAATTGATACAAGTCAAGAAAAAAAGAAGATAAGAATATAATGAAAATAAAAACATTTATTGATATACATCTTTTTTCATTTAGTATATTAAGGAAGTGCTTTATTATTTGCACTAGAAACATAGACAATTTTTCAATTTGTTTTTTAATTGTTTTTGATCAACTTTACTGTTTTTGTTAATGCTCAGGAAATCGAGAAAACTAATTGCTATTTACTTGGAGAAAATAAATTTTTTATCTTTAACAAGTTTATAATAAATAAAAAGTCATTAATACTAATATTAAAATATAAAATATTTTTATTAATTTTTAAATATATTTTTTCAAAAAGAGCAATGCCTCATTATTACTAGTAATTTGTATTAACATTAGAAACTGAGCAATATAAAAGAAACAATTTCAGACAGGCATCAAATGTAGTTAATAGATTTAAAAGAGAAATCATGTTATTCTTTTATTTAATTTCTTCCATCATTACAAAATTTATTAATCAAATAACACAAACATATAAATAGCATATTATTTTCATTTCAATTACAAATAAATAGCATATTATTTTCATATTTTCTTATTTTAGAAGTATTGAGAAATTACATCAAATATAGAAAAAAAAAATTTTAAAGCAAAAAGATGTTAAAACGAATTAACATGAGAAAAAAATTAACAAAATTTCTCATAGTTCTAGCGTATATAGCAAATTAGTTTCTAAATTATACGAACTGATAAAAATCATGAATAAATTGCATATCAAAAATATTAAATTGTTATAAAATATAATTATAAAATATAAATTGTTAACAAAGTTTAATTATACAACAAAAAGTTGTATAATTAAATTAAGTTAAAACGTCTTTTTATAGTACATAAACCTTATATAATTCTTTTGATAATTCATTTGATAAAGGATCAGGCTTTGTTCGAATTAATAATGATGCTCTTAAAAAAATTGAAGAACAAATTGAAAAATCTAAAATCATAAACTATGATCTAACCTTCGTAAAGTTCATAATACTTTACGAAATCTATAAAAAAAGTTTACAAAAAATGAATATAGTTTACAAAAAATGAATATAATCAATTTATCCAAGTGATGTCACTACTCCAAAATTATATGGTGTCATCAAAGCACACAAACCAAATAATAACTACCCCATGCAAATTATAGTAAGCACAATAGAGTCACCTACATATAAAGTATCCAATTATTTAATAAATCTCATTCAACCTACCTCCAACCTTAACAAAACAAAACTTCAAAATTCAAAACAATTTTTTGAATGTGCTTAATCATGGTATATTGATCCAAGTTTCTTTTGATATTGTTAATCTTTACCCTTCAATACCAGTTAAATAATTGATATTTTATTAGAACAACTCCGTAATAGTCCTGTCTTCAAAATTATCGTTTTCAGAAATAAAAATACTTTTAGATTTGTGTTTGTCAAACTGTTATTTCTTAATGAAAACAACATACACACATTAGAAGATGCTGTTCCTATAAGTTTATCATTAATGGCAGTAATGGCAGAGAACATTATGAAGAAAAAACCATTAACACAGGCACAATATCTTACACCACCGATATATATATAAAATCATTTAAAAGATATGTTGACAATATTCATTCCCGTTTTAATAATGACACAGAATCAGAACATTTTCTAGAGTTCTTAAATAATTAACACACAAATATCAAATATACAATTGAAAAAGAAAGTGATTCACACAATAAATTTTCTTGATCTCTCAATAAAAAATAACAAATCCGGAACATATCTTTTTAATATCTATTGCAAGGATGCAATAAAAAATGTGCAAATAAAGCCACATTCTTATCACAATCCAAAAATAATTTATGGCGCATTTAAAGGTTTTATCCTAAGAGCTTTTGCATTATACAGTAAATGTTCATAAAAAATGGTCATAATAAAAAAATACTTAAAAACATTGTCAAAAAATAAAAAACAATAAGTAAAAATATCAAAAAAAAAACAACTTTTGAGGGAAAATGGAAAAATTTGGCTGTGGCGAGGCATTCCAGAAATTGTCATGGTACCTTTGACTGGAATAAAAAACAACACAGTTAAAGTAGAGGCAGACTATTTTAAACAAAAAGTGAGAGTCTTTGGAAATACAGTATCACCAGTGTTCTCCAAATGAAGGTGGTTTGAATGAAGATGACGGTGATTACGTCACATCACCATTTTGGAAACCTTATTTTTCTTATTTAAGACTCAAGAACACATTACTTTGACGTTTTATTATTTGTTTGTTTTTTAACAGTTTTTTATATTACTTGAATAACGGGGGTATATATAACCCCTAGAAATATTGTACTATATTATAAAGAATTTTATAAGGATATTTTTTAATTATTAAATCTTTTTAGTTTATTTAATTAAAAGTTGATGTTTCGTTACAATTTTGATTCTTTTTTTTTTAATTTTTTTTTCTCTGTAGATAAGTTTAGCTTTTTGCCGCAAATTATGTGGTCAGTGTGTCTGGAAAAATTACTTTAAATGTGGATAAATAAGACGTGCAACCGCATGCGCTTCCCGGAATAAATTGCATTCCTGTATGCGATAGTTTGTGCAGTTCCATGCTTTTTGCACAATGAGTGGATATTACTATTTTATAATTATACATGTATAATATAAACAGCATTGATTGTGTTCAATATATATATATATATATATATATATATATATATATATATATATATATATATATATATATATATATATATATATATATATATATATTTACCTGCACTCCTTTAACAGATGCAATAACTAATAAAGTTCTTGTTGCTAATACACACCACTTGGCCTAAGTAAACAAAAATAAAATGAATACAAATGCAATACAAATCCTAGAATGGGATAATTCCCTTATTCAAAATTAAAGCAAAATTAAAAAGTTAAAAAGAAAACTCCACAAAAAATTATAATAATAATGAATTTATATAATAAATAACAACTTATTATTATTGTTATTATAATTATTATTATTTTTGTTGTTGTTATTATTACTAATATTTTATATTATAGCAACATTAGCTTTATTTAACTGAATCTTATTCCTGCAAAAGAATGCACTGTCATGCAAAACAATTGCATACCTGCAAAATAATTGCACTGTCATGCATACTTTCACCTTTACAAATAACTTTTCGACACAGTGTGTTGGTAAAACCTTTTTCATCTTTACTCTGGGAAGGGTCAAACACCCAAACAATAGATTTGTGTACCACAGCAAACAAGTGATCGTTATTTTCTGATGCCTTTACCACATCAAAATTATTATAAAGCAATGATGCACTTGATTTAATAGGAAGTGAAGAGACTTTTTTATACATTATTTACACCTAATTATAAAAATATTGAAAAAAAACATAATCATTTATTTTGTATCATGAGCAACAAAAATTTTAAAAGATTGATGGTAAATAACTTTTGATTCATGCATTTTGATTAAAATATTCTATTGAAAAATAACAAAAAAACATAATTTTCATGTTTAAAACCAATAAATCTTTATAACAATTTTTTATCCATATTATTATTATTATTACATATAAATTAAACTTTTTCTCATAAGTTATATTAAAGTAAGTTTTTATATTCTAAAATAAAATAAAAACTTTTTGAATTTAAAGCCTTCATTTTCAATAAATATAATAAAAAAACATTTCAAACGTTTAACTTTTTAGTATCCAAATAATTACATAAAACTCATACAACAATATTTAAGTGATAAATTAAAACTTATATAACTTAGTATTACATCTACCACTAAATTGAATTACTTTAAACTACAAATAGATTAACTTTCAACATCCACATTTAAACTAGTGTTAGCATCTGCTACATGCTGTATTACACCAGAATTAAACATAGTTACCGAACCAGCACCTAAACCAAAATTTTGAGGTAATATTACTTGAAAGCCTTGACTAGAAGCCAAAACAGGTACCCCATTTTGAGTAGTATTTTGTGCACATAATTTGTTTTGTGTACTAATCGAAGATAAAACATTCAATGTTTGTGGCACTGATGATAAAACACTCATACTTGTTTGACGAGAAGACATTATGCTGGATGTTTCAACTTTTGCTTTTTTACTAGATTCATCAGGTATATTTTCATGTGAATATACAATATTATTAGCTTTACTCTTCATACCAGCATGTCTTGGTTGGATACTTATTGGAAGTTGAGGACGACCTTTTGCTGTTGTTAAATTTTGAACAGTTTTTTGTTTTAAAGCTGCTTTGATTTGACTTGCAGATTTCGTTCTTATAACAGTAGATATTTTTTCAATGTCTTCTCCAAACTGGCTAATAGCTTTCTTGAGCATTTCTACTTCTTCATCACCCCATTTACCATTGTCCTGTATTTTATCACTTGATTGTTGAAGTGACATTGCAAGAGTACCAAGTTTCATAAATGTCTCACCAGCAAGTGTAAATATCTCTGCAACTTTTCCTGCTTGACTCATTATTATATCCTGGCTCAAAAAATATTTAAAGGAAAAGCTTTTCTTTTTATACAAAATCTGAAAAGGAAAATGTATAATTATAATGTATACTTAGTATAAATAAAAATACTAAATGTATAATAATTTTATAATTAACTCACTAATTTTTTTAAAGTAAAACATGTGAAAAATAAATTTTTGAATGAATCATTACTAATTAATAATTTATAAAAAAATATATAACAACTTAATTTATATTAATTTATATTATAATAACATAATTATAATAACATATAAATATATTATAACAACATAACTCATACTAATTTGTATAACAAATAGAAATTTGATGATAAATATTAAATTTGAAAATATTAGCCATTTCACAGGATTTTATTTTTTTCAACATATTTATATATGATTAACATGGTTTTATAGAGCTTAAAATGATTTAAAATAAAGGGTCTTTTAACTTTAAAATTTAAGTGGATCTGAAGTTATTGCATTTTTTTGTGCTGGAAAAACTGATTTTTTGACAAAACGCCTCATACTTAATAGAACCGAAATAAAATAAGAAAACATCAAAATCAAGGGCAAAAATCAAAACAAACAATACACAAAGGAAAAAAAACAAGCAAAAAGAACTAAGAAATTTCATATAAATATTAAAAAAGTTAAAAACGTCTTTTTAATCTATATGGATTTTTTTAAACAAACTTGAAAAGTTTTGGTACTTAAGAATCTTTAGCTTCAAAAACTTCTTTTGAAAAAATGTTCTTACAACAAATTTTTTTTATTAATAGTGGTCTTAAAATATGAATAATATATAGGTGAAGTCATATAAAACAACTTTCTATACATGGTTAAAAAGAACTAGAATCTAACTAATTAATGCAAAAAACCTTAAGGTTTTAACTTAATTATAAAAAAAGATATAAAAGAATAAAGTTCATGAAAATAACGTGTTTTTTGTCAAATGTCAAATATGTTTTGTTGCACTGTGGAGTTGCTGAAAAATTAAGTTTTAGTAAATAAACAAAAAAATCCATATTTTAAATTTGGTTAAAAATCTTTAGGTAGAAATTAGAAATATAGAGCTAGACTCCTTGTAGAGCTTATGGCTGACTTAATGATAAAAACTTATTCAAAACTTTAGTAATGAGAGTTTTTATGTTAAAAAATGATAGCCATTTTCATCCTAATTTTTATGCATAACACAACCTAAAATATCTAAAGTAAATTAAGTTACTTACAAAACATTTCAGCTTAAAAATAAAATATCCGTTTTTTATTTTTAATTAACTGCTTTCACTTCCCCAGGACCAAGGAGGCTAAATACACTCGAAGAAACTACTAATTTTTATTTTATTATACTTATTTATTTTTTTTACTCTTATTTCAATTCTGTCTCACCTTTAACACAAAAACATGAAAATTGAAGAAAAAGGCCATTTATGTAAGTTTTCAAGTCCTTTGCTCAAAAACTTAAGCCTTTGCTTTATTTTACCTTGTTACCTTATTTATTACCTTATTATGTGTTTTAAATATCTTTATATACTTACAAATTAAGATAATGAGACTTTAAATTTAAAAAAGTCTATCAATGACAATGTTTAATACAATATTATAATATAATTATATTCTTTACTTTATTTAAAAATAAATAGTACTTTTATTTAAAATTGGAAATTATTGATGATATACAACGCAAATTAATTACATTTTCAAAACAAAGATTGTTTCCTATAGGTAAGAAATGTAGCTTTAGAAAATGATCCGTACCAAAAGTACCGGTTGTATATTTTAAAACCCTTTTAAAATTTAGAAAAAAAAATTTTGCGTTCGTTAAAAATTGAAAACAATTGTATAAGTTTAAACATTTGTTTTACATATATATACGTTCTAATAAACATACGTTTTATATACATACGTTCTTATAAGAATGTATTGAGTTACTTAATTTAAACGTGAAGAAATGCAAAGTGTGAAGCAAAATGTGAAGTAATGCAAAATGAAAAAACTGTCTCATGAAAAAGTAAATTCATATCCATGTTAATTCAAAAATGTCTCAATTTTAAAAATTTATGGTACCTAGGGATGATCTCTTTTTATTCAATATGATACCAGTTTTACTAAAAAGACATTTTGTAGGTACACCAATGCTCAATGAAAGGTAGAAAAAAAATGGAAGAATTGAAAATAATTTAGGACAATCAGCATTCACCTTATAGTTGTGTTACAGTAGTTAGAGTTCTGGCTTCAGAAATGGAATTGTCCACGGTTCAAAGCCGGCTCTAAATTGATAAAGAAGGAGGCGTGAACTTCCTGATTAAATGCTTTTTCCACAATAATGACCGTAAGGACATCTTAAAGCACCTGAAAAACTTATTTAAAAAAACAAATTTTATAAAACTTATAATTATCGGACTCTCACTTTTTAACAAATATTGATTAATAATTATGATGCACAAAAATCTTTTTTAAATAAATAAAAAATCATTAAAATTTCAGGACCAACGACACGGTTTTCGATGTGTGTGTTTGTGTGTGTGTGTGTGTGTGTGTGTGTGTGTGTGTGTGTGTGTGTGTGTGTGTGTGTGTGTGTGGAGGGGGAGAGGATAGGTGTTAATAATTGTCAATTTCTAAAAAAAGTCTTCTAAATGTTAAGAACATTTTATTTAAAAATAAAAAGGAAGGGATACGTGCCTAACTAAAATACTCAATTACTCAAGTCAGTGACTTTTTTTTTTTTTTTTTTTTTCTATAATTTAGCCGTACAAATATTTACAAGTTCCGTAATTTAAAATATTTAAAAATGGCAAGGACGAGAAGAAGACGGGGTTGTCTTATCACCAAGTCCCTTGTTTGTCTAGACATTTATATAAATACATGGTAACTAAAATGAAAATTAAAAAATTAAGAAAAAAGCAAAATATTACAAAGAAGTTTATATAAAATGCCAAATAGTTTAATAGTTCAAAGTTTTGAAAGATATTTTTTCGATTTTATTTTTTGAAAGAAAAATTTAAAAGTTCATTCAGAAAAACAAAAATATCAAAAAACTAAAAAACATGAAAAAAGTAAACGTAAAATTTAATTTACAATCTGTTCTTATAAAGTGTAATATATTAATTCCTCAAAAACAAATTACAAAATATTAATATAAGAAATTAAAACTCAAAAAAGATTACTTTTTTTATTTTTCCTCTCTCTCTCTTATTTAAGAAAACTAATAAATTTATTTAAACTAATGAAATCTAAAAATGCTAAAAATCTTTATAAGTACTTTTTTTATAATATAACAGACTGTAATACCTATATAAAATTAAAGAATTTAGACCTTTCAGACAAATAAAGTATGCATTAGTAGATAGTTTTAAAATATAATATTTTTATAGATAGATTTAAAAATAATTATCTGTTTGTTCATTATTTAAAAGTAATAGTTTTAGTTTTTGTTTAAACTGATCAAGAGTTTTAAGTGTTTTAATATCATTACTGATTATCTTATTCCATGCATTAGGTCCTCTAACAGTTATTGAAAACTTGGTGGAGTCGTATATAGTTTTGGGTTGAACAAAGTTGTTGTTAGAATATTTAGTTACGTATTTGTGTTGAATTTTATTAAATAATGGTTTGAAGATATTTGGTATTGAATTATTATTAATTTTATACATAAAAATCAGAAGATGATATATATTTATTTGGTACACATTTAGTATTTTTAGATTGTTAAACAATGGTCTTGAATGTGAGAGGCGGTGTGCATTTGATAATAATCTAATTGCATGTTTTTGTTTGCTAAATAGCTTTTTTATCTTTGTTTTATTGGTGCTACACCAAGCAATGTTTGCATAATTAAGATAAGAATGTATAAATGAGTAATATATGTATTTCAAGCAGGATTGATCTAAGAATGGTTTTGCTTTATAGAGTAATCCAATATTTTTAGAAATTTTATTTTCAATCATGTTTATGTGGTCTTTCCAACTTATGTTTTCATCTAGAATTACACCTAAAAATTTCATCGAACATTCTCTTTTTACGATGTAATCTCCAATAATAAGTTTTGGAAGTTCAAGAGGAATTTTTTCTTTTTTATGGAGGCGATGAAAAATAGTATATTTAGTTTTAGTTAAATTAATTGAAAGTTTGTTCATATTTAACCATTCGGTTAGTTTTAGGAGTTCAATGTTGACCGTTTTAAATAATGCTGTTATATCACTATGAGAATAAAATAAGATAGAATCTAGAATATTAGAGGCTTTGCTTAAATCATTAATATAAATTAAAAATAAGAGTGGTCCTAATATAGATCCTTGAGGAACGCCGCAAGTAATTGTCATATTGTTAGTTTTTTTATTGCCGAATGAAATATACTATTTTCTATTAGATAAGTAGCTTTTAAACCAAGCTATGTTAATATTTTTGATACCGTAGTTCTCTAATTTATTAATTAAAATACTATGATCAACTGTGTCAAACGCCTTACTTAGATCTATGAAAACACCTAAAGTGAACTTGTTTTTATCAAAAGCTTGAAAAATAATCTGAACAAGATGAAGAATTGCATGATCAGTAGAGTGTCCTGTTTTGAAGCCAAATTGTTTGTTATATAGAATATTATTTTTTTCTAAATATGAATATAATTTGTTATACATAATGCGTTCTAGTATTTTTGAGAAGCAAGGAAGAATGGAAATAGGTCTATAATTAGAAATATTAGTATTATCTCCAGATTTAAAACTGGTATTACCCTTGCAATTTTAAGTTTTTTTGGAAAGATTCCTTGTTTAAACGAAAGATTAAATATATGCAAAAGGATTTTTTTAATATAGAAGATACATTTAATTATGACATTACTGCTAATGTTATCAACTCCTTGTGATTTGTTTAATTTTAATGAAAGAACAGCATCTAATAACCTTTTTCGGTTAACTCCGCATTTTCCATTATTTATTTGCTAGGAGTCAAGTATTTCTCCTTGTTAAAATCACTGTGTTTTAGTTTGGATGCTAAATTTAGACCTGCGTTGACAAATACGCCATTAAACGTTTTAGCAATTAGAGATTCTTTTGTAATATCTTGATGATTGTAATTGAGCTTTTTTGGAAGACCATTTAACATAATTGTTTTTTTTCCAATTACTTCCTTAATGACTTGCCACGTTTTTTGAGTATCACCTTTGAATTTTATTATTTTATTTGAGTAGTATAACTTTTTTGAAAGTTTTATAATTGATTCAAAGTGACTTTTATATTTTTTATACCTTAGTTCATTTACATAGGTTCTTTTTTTCAGAAATACTTTATACAAACGTTGTTTTTTTTTAGACGATTTTATTATTCCTGGTGTAATCCAGGGGTTTATAAATGTTTTAGCTTTAATAATTTTTGTTACCACCGGGAAAGCTTTATCATAATGATCTTTGAATATCCGAAGAAAACTGTTATAAGCAGTCTCTGCAGTTTGAATTTGTAAAATATCGTCCCAGTTTTCAGAAAATAAAGAATTATTAAAAAGTTCCATAGAAATGTCATTATATACTCGATTTGTAATTAATATTTTTTTGTGAGGGGTGTGTTCGACACTTTTATGTGCAATTATAAATATTGGGAAATGATCCGATATATCGGATATTATTATTCCAGTTTTTATTTTGTTTTTTGTATATTCATTAATTATTATTTGATCGATTGAAGTTGCGCTATTTCTAGTAATTCGTGTTGGTTTATTTATAGTTGGAATAAATCCATTTTGAAATATGATGTTCATAAAATTTTTAACATTTTTATTTGTGTCGTAATCAAGCACATTATAATTAAAATCTCCCACAAAGAAGACACGTTTGTCACATAAAACTTTGCTTTTAATTAATTTTTTAAAGTGTTTTTCAAAAAATTTATTATTGCCTGATGGCGGTCTGTACACGACATGTATAATGACGTTTTTTGTGACTTTATTTAAAATTTCGATCGTTAAAGATTCACAATCATTACTAATTACACTAAACTCGGTTAGCGGTTTAAAATTTAAAGAATTATGGATAAAAATACATACTCCTCCACCTATTGTCTCAGAGTTTCTGAGTTGATGAATAACTGTATAGTTTTTTAGTTGATAATTTGAATCTTTTTCAATTTGTTTATCTCGACACCAGGTCTCTGTGAGACAAATAATTTTAAAATTAATTTCAAGACCAAATAAAAAATCTTTAAATTTATCAAAATTTTTACAAAAGCTCCTAATATTTAGGTGTAAAATAGAGAATGCATTAATATCCAAATTTGCAGTAACATTAGAAATATCAGAATTATAATAAGAAGGACATATATTTTTAATGATTTCATCAGTGTTAAAAAAATTAACATCTGGATCTGAATTATTCTCTAAAAGTATATTTTTATTTGTTTGGAAAGCCTTAAAGCTTAAATCATGAAATTTTATATCTTCCATAACAACACGAAAGGTTATACTAACAAAATATATAGAGTATAAAATAATTAAAGGTTTGAAGGTAATTTCCTGAATTCTTTTACTATTAATTTATCGTAAATTACAACCGAAAACATACCATTTTTCCTATGTATCTTCATTTTCTCGAATAGTTTTTTCCTGATAGATGCAGTTTCCAAAGAATAATCCTCGTTGATATATATTCCCGATCCTTTTAGTTTACTCGCACTTTTTAAAACTTGTACTTTGTCTTTGTCTTTCTTGTATGTCTTGTGTAAAGTTTAGACTATCTTCTATATCTTTTTGCACATTTTCATTTTTTTTTAATCTTTTAACGTAGTTTTTTTGTTCCTCTTTAATTAATGTGTTTTCTTTTTGGAGTGTCGCACACAACTCTTTTATATTAGTTATTTCTTTCAGCAAACCATCAATTCTGTCGTTTGTTAATTTCAAATTTCCGCTTATTAGTTTTAGAATATCATTTTGTTGCTTAATAAACATTTCGTTGAATATACTCCGAACAAGCTTTATTGAAATAATTTGATCATCGTTTGTTAATTTATCCATGACTTATTGACACAAATACTTAAAAAAAGTTTAGATGTGTTTTTTTCCGTGTACTTGAGTAGGGGTAAAATTTTTAATCTCTGTAACCACGACAAAATTAGTAAACCTTCAATAACAAGAGTCAGTTTCACTACCGGACTATCTATGGAACATTATAAGCCAAAACTCGGGGGCCCGAATACAAACTTAAAATTATCTTTTATATTTTAAGATATAAAAATAATTTTAAGTCTTAATAAACATGGACTTTAATTTTTTAATTATATATGTTAAAAACTCAACACTGATTGTTGTTATTGGATCTATCATCCACAATTTGTGAAGAGTTGGTGCTAAAAAAAATAATTTCTCGGATTAAGAATAAAAGATCACCTATTGAGAAATCAGTGATATTAATGGCAAATCAGGGACATACAGCGTAAGATATTTTTGAAGACCATTTTGGAATATCTAATTTAACACAAAATTGATATTAAAAATTATCGTGGGTAATCATACGACAACATTTAAACAATTAAAAAAAATGTATTCTACAAAATAGAGTGCTCAACGTTCTTAAAAGAACAGAGCAATTATGAATTAGTAGATAGTTTTTTTTTTTATAAAAATATTTAAAAAAAAAATTAAATCCCCCCTTTTTTAAAAATATTTATATAAAAAAAAAAAAAAAGCATAAGTAATCATTTCTAAAGAATTCTTATAATAGTGTCAGCGAATTCCACAAATGTGTGAAAATTTATAGTAGTTAAAACATTTGCGACTTTCTTTAATTTAATTTTTTGGTATAAATTAAAGTTTTATCATTCATTTCTGATGAATCTTTGTTGATGAAACACAGTGTAAAATGAAAAAAAAAAATGTTAAGTGATTTTCTACTAATTTATATATATATAATATATATATATATATATATATATATATATATATATATATATATATATATATATATATATATATATATATATATATATATGCGGTAGTGGTGTAGTGGTAGAGTCCGATCCCCACCACGTCCCTGGTAGTACCGCGCTCAACTCGCTTAGTATATACATACCGACATAGAGGTATTCAATACACTATGGAAATCGAAAATGAAAATAACACGCTAAACTTTCTTGACATTACTATTATTAACAATAAAACTGGTACGTACGATTTTAAAGTTTACCGTAAAGATGCCATAACTAATATCCAAAAACTCATGCCATGATCCAAAAATTATAAACGGAGTTTTCAAAGGTTTTGTTCATAGGGCATTATATTTATGCTCTGATAATAATATTGAATAAAAGTTATCTTTATCGTGGATTCCAGGAACTAGCCCGAAATTAAAAAAAATTTTCAAAAAAAACGGTTTATACACCAGTCTTTAAATCTCCAAAAAATTTACAACATATACTTACCACAAAAAAATAAACCCGCTCTTCCTCTAAATTCTTACCCAGGTGTACAAACTTGAATGCTCCTACAAAAAATGTTATATCGGTGAAACAAAATTAAAAATCTCATCTCGTATTTACCAACATCAAAAAAATACATACAAATCAAATCAAATATATTCTGAATATAGTTGTTATATATATCAAGGATATTTACAAATAGTAATTTGTACTAATATAAAGTAAACACCTGTCAGACTAAATAAAAATAAGATTGAGATATTAACAATAATTATGATACAAGTAGGAATAATAAAGTAATAGTAGTGATTATAGTAATAAAAAAAAATAGTAGCGATTATAAAAGTTTATACTATAATCGCCTATAATGAATAGCCTATGAATATTAATAGTGCGCATAGTTACGCGTATTGTTTTATAGTTACGGTACGGTTCTGTATCTGTAAAATACACTTTTTAAGTAGTTTCTAGACTTTTCTTTACCGCGTGCTTACTTACAGATTTCCCTTCAACCTTTCATGGTACGAGTTCAAAATATCTAAGTTGACATTAAGTAGATAATGTTTAGTAGCTTAAAATTATAGGTAATCTAAATTTTTTTTTAAATTTAAAAGTAATTAATTTATTGTAATCTTTTTTAAATTGTAATTTCAAATTTAAAGCTTCGTGTTATAGATTACTTTAATTCTTAATTTGTGTCTAGCGTTAAAATATATTTATGGGTAGTTTCATGCTTTCACTTAGTTTTGGTTATTGGGATAAAAGCCATGACAACATTTTGTTATAAATTTATCTTAATTTAATTTTTATTGAAAATTTTGTTATAAATAAAATTTGTCTTTAATATTGTTAATACTTTAGCTCTTTGAAAAAAAATATGTTTCTGGCTCTTCAATAAATATAAAATTATTTGTCTTGCATGAATGAATTTTGGTTTAGGGTTTAATTGTGTCAGTTTATGTTTGTCTATCTGTAATTTATTTAGGTTATTAAAAAATTCATGTTTACAGAGTTGTTATAAATCATAATCGAGTTGTTAAACCAAGGAAATTGTGGAGGTTTATTTATCATATATACTATATATATTATATAATTATATTGGAGGGAGTAAGTTTAGAAGTCTTTTTAAATTTTTAAAAAGAAATAAAAATACTTTTCAATATATATCTGTTTTCTTTGAGGTAGAATTAAAGTTTCAGTTTTTTAAAACTTTAAATTAACTTTACAATGTTAAAATGGTTTAAACGGATTTTTGTAAATGAATTTAATCCTCAAAGATTAAATTTTTTTTATTATTGAAGAAATTAAACTAGATTTAAGAATAAGTCGACTTAAATGTTTGTTTGTTTTTCTATTTAGATGATGACAATATTAAAGCAAGTAAGTTAAAAAGCATTTTTAAATTTTTAAAAAGAAATTTTTTCTTTGTTTTCTTTGAGGTAGATTTAAAGTTTCAGTTTTTTAAAATCATATATATTTTAAAATCCTATATATAACTCATATATCTTTGTTTTTCTATTTAAACGTTGGTAATAATATGAAACAGGTAAGTTATAAAGCATTTTTAAAATTTTTAAAAAGAAATAAAAATACTTTTTATTATATATCTGTTTTCTTCGAGGTAGATTTAAAATTTCAGGTTTTTTAAATCATATATATTATAAGATTTACAAATGAGTCGACTTGAATGTTTGTTTGTTTTTCTATTTAGACGTTGGTGATAATATCGAAACAAGTAAGTTATAAAGCATTTTTAAATTTTTAAAAAGAAATAAAAATACTTTTCAATATATATCTGTTTTCTTCAAGGTAGATTTAAAATTTCAGGTTTTTAAAATCATATATATTATAGTATTAAATTCTTTTTTACTTTAAAAATATCTATATTATAGTTACACTGAGTCGTAGAAAAAAAATTAAAGTTTATTAATAAGGTAGTAGATTATTAGAGTAGATTAAATTGTTTGATCTATTAATCAACTTAATAACGTACTATTAATATGAAGATTTTTTTTGGTTGTTTGTTTGTTAAAATTTAGTTAGAGTTTATTTAAAATTTAAATTCTTTAGTTAATCAAGAGAGATCTAATAAAGGTATTAATTACATTAGTTGAATGTGGCATTTAATATGTATTTTATCGATATAAGGAATAAAATAATAAGGAATAGAAAAATTTTAAAAATTTGCTCTGGAATTTGTCAAAAGAGTGTTGTGTTATGCTTCATTTTAAGGTATCTAAATATATATTCATTAAAAATTTTTAATTTTGTTTTTAAATGGTTTATTCTTTTTCACTACTTTAGATAAATATATACTGACTGACATAACTTCATTTTTATTAACAATGTCGTGCATTGTAGTCTGCATTCTTTGTTACATTAAAAATAATTGATGCTAATAAATGTTCTTTTATAGTTGTTAAAAGTTTGCATTTATGTTTGCATTTATATTATGATCAAAGTTAAAATTTTTTTGATAAATACGTGTATGTGGTGATACTACTCAGGTATCACCGCAGCTTATCTCTATCAGGTACATTGATTTTTAATTCACATATGATGTTTTTCTTTGTATTTACTTATTCATTACATTTTTAACTTCAGATTTATGGTGTATTTATTTGCTATAGAAGAACAAATCATTTTGAATTTTTTAAAAATATCTACACCAATCAGCATTTAAAATTCAATGTAGCATATACCAGCTTCTAGGCTTTTTTGATGCTTTTCTTATTCAAGTGGTTTCATAAGCAAGGTCTACAAGCAAATTTGAGATAAAAAGTTTTTCAGCTTTCAAGGAGTATCAATGTTGTTCTCTGTATACTTTAATTTGTTTAAATAGAGTAGTTTTAGTAAATAAATGTTTGTTTGTTCTTGGTTTTTTACTTATTTGTTATCAGATTCTTAAGAATTATTCAACTTAGCAAGCAAGATTTATTTTATTTTTTAGTGCAATTTGAAAGAGCTAAAGTGCTTTTTAGTTACTTCAAATCATTTGTTTTTATTTTTTAAATAGAAGGGTTAATAATAAAAATATTTAGACAGTCGAACTGTTACTGATTTGAGTAAGTTTAATTTTTTGTTTAATTTTATATTAGATATATATTTTATGTATTTAACATGAAAAACTGACTGTAATTTTTGACAGGTAAGTTTATATACTTAAATGTGCCTATATATCGGAATATTTTATATTTCTCTGAATCTATATGAATATTATCTCAGAAAAAATTAAGAATAGAAAAAATTTGAATATATATACATACATATATATTACTTTAGACTGACATTGCTTCATTTTTTATACAAGATTCTGCATTTATTATTTTTGTGCATTAAGATTGTGCCTGAAGGCTTTCTTAATTTAGCAAAGAATTTAGAACACAATGCAAATAACTTTGCACTGTGTTCTAAATTCTTTGCTAAATTAAAATAATGTAAATAAATTTTGTTTTATATTTTTCAGTTGTAAAAATATAAAACGTTCATTTATTCAGTTGTAACAGTAGCATAGCCACTGGTAATATATATTTAATGATAACAGATTTATAATATTAGGCTCGAAGAAGTTATTAGTGTAAATGGTTATAGGTGACTTGAAATTGTTGTCATATGAAATAAATAG